AAGCAAAAACACTGAAGCAATATCCATAGAAGTTCAAAATGCATATTAAGTCTCTTTCAGATCTGGAAACTGCAATTACACAATTTCTTCAGGTAGGCATATTGTCAGGAAGCTCAGTTCTAAATTTCTCTCGTCCTGCTAATGACAAAATTGAATGATTCTGTGGATTTATAGATTAATGACTTCAACTCTTCAGATTTAATGAGAGATCTGCTGGCTGAGGCTCTAGTTAAACTGTCTCAAACAGATTTTTATTGTGCCTTGGAGATGTTGAAAATCTGATAAACATGATTCGGTGGGGAAAGGCAGGAGCTTTCACCACGTTATTTTGATATGTTCCTTCCACAAGGTTTTAAACACACAAAGGCCAATTACACCTTCAAATGCCCATTTCCTTCGCTGCCTTGAAATACAGATAAGCTGCTGTGTTAACATTTCTTTAGGAGAATTGTTGAACTCTGCATCCTGAAGGCCCTTATTGCTGTCAACCAGGTCAACAAAGGATGTAAGGAAAGAGGCACAAGGAAAAGAACAACATGCTGCTCCTTGTGGTGACATGTATCTGCACAGGTCCCTCTGCAATACTGCCTGAATACCACAGTCAACTTCCATGTGCTAGTTTTGGCTGGGAGGGAATTCATTTTCTCCGCCGTAGCTTGCGGGTGGCTATGTTTTGGATTTGTACTGGAAACACTGTTGATAACAGGGATGTTTTTGTTACTGCTGAGCAGTGCTTACACAGAGTTGAGGCCTTTTCTGCTTCTCTGGACACCCCACCAGTGAGAGGACTGAGGGTGCATAAGGAGCTGGGCAGGGATAGAACCGGGACAGCTGTCCCCAGCTGACCCCAGGAATATCCCACACCATGTAATTTCATGCTCAGCATATAAGGTTGGGGAAAGAAAGAGAAAGGGTGGGATATTCAGAGTGATGGCGTTTGTCTTCCCAAGTCATTGTTGTGCATGACAGAGCTCTGCTTTCCCGGAGATGGCTGAACACCTGCCTGCCCATGGGAAGAGGTGCATGAATTCCTTGTTTTGCTTGGTTGTGTGCAAAGATTTTGCTTTACCTATTAAACTGTCTTTTTCTCAACCCACGTGTTTTCCCTTCTGATTCTCTCCCCCGTCCCACTGGGGAGGACTGAGCGAGAAGTTGCTGGTGCTCACTTGCTGTCTGCGGTTAAATTATGACATGCCATCACAAAAAGAAACACAGTATGGTAGGGATGGCCAGACGTGACTTCCTGTGTATAGAAATACCAGAATCTAATTATGATGTTAGAATATAATTCTATCTAGTTATGCAAGCAAAGGAACACTTGGGGCATAACCTTAAGACTCTTTTTTCCTGGTCACTTATCAACATTTCCAAACACGAGATTGGGCTTTTGCAAACTGAATATTGAGGGCTAATCTTGAATTTCTGTCCCTTACGGATGCTCTCTTAATTTTGTGTTTTCCTGAATAGGAGTTGGCTCTTAGTCTCACTTGTCTCTTGGTCTTGTGCTACAGCCTTTCCAGAATCCTAAGTTCAAACTTGTAATCTATTTTGAAGGCAGTTTGGGTCAATTCTTCACTTGATTTGCTCTGGTATCCCAAAAGCTAGACCAATAGAGGCCAACAAGGCATTTTTTCAGGAGTCTGCTTTGTGGGCTTTGTGTGCTCCTGTCTAGCTTCAAGTGACATTTTCTTCACAGGGTTGGCAAATGAAGGGTGCATCTGCTTGCCTCCCTGGTGACTCCAGCTTTTAGTAGTCCCTCACTGAACACATGGGCTTTTTCCCACGCTTGTTTCCCATAGCTGTGAATTTTAAGTTTGGGATCTGGAGCATCTAAGTCTTGTGGCTCTCTGGGAAGCCTATCAAACTCCTCCTTATTTACTAAATTGTGTTAGTCAAAGGGAGCATTACAGATACTTTGAACTTGGAGACAGATCGCAGGAGACAACTGTTTGTATCTATGTACATGTTTTATGTGCTTTTTAACAAGGCAGCTGAATTCTCAGCATATAAACAGACCTCTTTTTTTAGCAGTGTCTTAACCCTTATCCTGCATGAGGAATTTATTTTAAAAGCTTGACTTTTTTTAGCTTATAATGATTTTTGCAACTCTGATTGCTAGAGCAACTCTTTACAAAACCTGGCGGACAACCATAGTTTGACTAAAATTCCAAACAACCAGTTTTCCTGAAGAAGATTATGCAGAAAGTTCTCCCATTTTCTCTATAAAATTTATCTTGCAGAATACAAATCATCATCAGTTTCCCAGGATTAAAATCTTGACTCTTTGACTTAGAGCATTTCTTTTGCCTGGAGGAAGAGGTTGAGTCTGGAGGTGAAGTCACCACCACAACAGCAAGGAATGAACGGAAAACAGCTGCATTTGGCAACACACTGGATCATGTTCCAGTTAGGTTTTTGAGTACTTTACAGAACCCATTCAGTCTTCAATGAATTCACCACTCAGAAAGATATCTGTCAACCTTCAAGCACTTTTACAGAAACCTGTATGGCAGCAGAGAACATGCTAGAAATCCTTACCATTCTTAGTTCTATAAGAAAGCTGTGTGCCTAGTGAGAACAAATAAAGGTTTCTTGTAACATCAGTCTCAATTTTCTTTACTGAGAGTTCAGCTCCAACCTGAAGTCCAAGTGAATTACAAGGCAAAAATATTAATTTCCTCTGTCAGCCTTCCCAGTGGCAATTTGTCTCTTTGGAAGGCTATTCTACAAGTATTGATTAGTTTGAAGAACAACAATACTCTTAAGTCTAAGCAACCAGGATCAGACTAGATGCTGAATAATCTAGTATAGAACCTTAGGAGTTGTGAATTTGTCTGGAGGGTATTTTTTAACTACTAGATATAAACAAAATTCTCTACTGACTTACCTAGGTTTGTTGAAACAAAGGCATTTGTAACAGCCTCTTCAGCTATGCTACCTATAAAAGTATTAATTTTGACCAATACGGGAAATGAAACAAACAAATACAGCAAGACTAGCCCTAGATTATTTCTGTCTGATGGAGTAAAACACAGTAAAAATGATTATCCATATCATGCTTAACATTGCATGTAATCACTAGGTACAATTTTGTGCAATGATATTTAGACAACTTTCCATCCCTTTGCTCTGGAAACATTCTTTATAAATGCCATTCAGAGGAACAAAGAATGGGTTGGAAAAGGAGTGTTTCTGAGTTGATGTGGACTTGACAAATTCTCACTACCCTGAACTAATACATCCACGTTTTTCTTATCATCTGGATGCTAAAAATATGTCTCTGTCAAACCTGAATATCATCTCTTCTGTTAATGGATGACATACCCAGCAGTGAATAGAGCTTTATGATCCTCGCATAGTTTGCACAGAAGAAAATCTGTTAGCAGTTTCCTGAGTAACACTTCATTTATGTAACATTCAACTCCTGTAAAGCATGTCAGAGAGACAGGCAAGGCACGTGAAAGAAGCCTTGGTAGTGGTGTGGTGTTGTGAGATTTGTAATATGCAGCTTTAATTTCCCCTCTCTATTTGACCTGAAACTTGTAGTCACACCAGTTCCCCAGGTCTAATACAATAAATAGGCACAAAACTGTGAATAATGCACTGAACTGTTCATAAAAATCAGGTTTTGGAACAAAAGTTTAAAGAAATAAATTTGCTAGAAAGTTTGCTTAGGATAGCCACATTTATTGTCTGCATTTCCAGGTGTTGTGAGGGTTTGCAGTTTTAATTGGAAAACTTGTGACAACTATTTGCGCTGTGGGAGCAGGTGTCATCTTAAACTCCTGCCACTGATCCCCAAGCAAAGGAAGGGTAGTGGCAGTCTGGGGTGGGCGCACATACCCTCGCAGGGGCTAACTAACCCATAAAGTGGCAAAAAGCTTTGCATGATGTTAACAAATTCATATCATCTTGTATTTTAAATTTTAAAACTCTTCTCGAGTAAAAAATTTTGGACAAAGTTAAAGAAGGAAGATTTAATCTTTCATTCTTCCCCATTTTTTTTCTCCCTGTAAAATCATGTAATTTTTGTAACTGAATTTAATGGTAGCCACCTATGAGGAGACCTAGGGAGTTTTATTAAAAACACAGTAAGGTTGGTATCTAACACAGTATAACTTTGTTGTGATTTTATGCGTTTTTGTGTGGCTGAAGGAAAGAATTCCAAATGAAGGGTCAAATTCAGGTTCCAGTGAAATCAGGATATAATCCACACTCAGGACAATGGGACCAAATTTTTCACCAAATCCATTCATTCTACCAAGAAGAGGAAAACTGTTCATCTAAACCTTGTTTAACACAAGAATTTTAATGGCCCACTGCTAGAAACTCTCCAGTAAATGTGGAGATTTTGCTTGTACTTGTAGAAACGTGTGGTTTAGACCTACACTAAGGCTTGGATGACATTTATTGTCTGAGATTAATTCCTGAAACCTTCAAAAACATTAGGTTGCTTTGAAACTGTTCTATTTTTTCTAATAATTTACTTCTCTAGGGTTGATCCCAGCATGACAGTGAAATGCCCAAGGCCCAGGTGGACTCTCCCAGGACCAAATCAGCACCTCTTACCGACAAGTCACTTTGCCTTGGCTAAAAGCCAGATCGAGGTGTGCAGGCTGATGCTGCATGATTACGGCAGTTTTACTCACAATTATAAGTGCTGCTTTACCGGACCCTAAGGGAGCTCTCGGGGTGCACCGTTCCGGGGCTCCCGAGACCAGAAAGGGGTCTGGGTGCCTGCTCCTCCTCGGCGCAGCACTGTCGGGGCGGAGCGGCCCTGGTTCCATGGCGGGGCGAGCGGGCAGCGGCTGCCGGAGAAAGGAGGGGCTGGCGTCAGGCGCTGGGCAGCCACTGGCGTGGGAGCTCCTCCTCGCCTCGCCTCCCGCGGCCAGGGGGATAAAGGCATCTGGCCGGGCGCTCCGGGCCACCGGAGGGGGAAAGGCGGGCGAGCGGACGAGCAGGGGCCGAGCCGAGCCCGGCTCCACTGCGCAGCCCCCTCCATGCGCTTCGCCGGCAGCGCCGGCTCCCCCCGGGCCGTGCCTTCGCCCAGGAATGGCAGCCGGTGGCCAGCGGCGGAGCCCGGCGGCGGCAGTAGCCCCAGTCCCGAGGTGTGGTCAGGGTCGCCGAACGGCAGCCTGGGCGGCTGGGACCCCTTCGGGAGGGACGAGGAGCTGGCGAAGCTGGAGATCGCGGTGCTGGCCGTCACCTTCGCTGTGGCAGTGGTGGGGAACGCCAGCGTGCTGCTGGCCCTGCGGCGTACGCCGCGCAAGGCTTCCCGCATGCACCTCTTCATCCGCCACCTCAGCCTGGCCGACCTGGTGGTAGCCTTCTTCCAGGTGCTCCCGCAGCTCTGCTGGGAGGTAACCCACCGCTTCCACGGCCCCGACGGGCTCTGCCGCGTCGTCAAGCACTTGCAGGTCTTCGGCATGTTCGCCTCCGCGTATATGCTGGTGGCCATGACCGCCGATCGCTACATCGCTGTCTGCCACCCGCTGAAGACGCTGCAACAGCCCACCAAGCGCTCGTACGGGATGATCGCGGCGGCCTGGGCGCTCAGTCTGCTGCTCAGCACCCCACAGTACTTCATCTTCTCCCTCAGCGAAGTGGAGCGCGGCTCGCAGGTCTACGACTGCTGGGCACACTTCATCATGCCCTGGGGGCCCCGCGCCTACATCACTTGGATCACTGGCGGCATCTTTATCGCTCCTGTCCTCATCCTCATCATTTGCTACGGCTTCATCTGCTACCGCATCTGGCGCAACGTGCGGGGCAAGACGCGCCCAGGGGAGGCGGCAGCAGCTGGTGGCGGGCGGCGGGCGGGTGATGATGGTGGCCCGCGACGAGGGCTGCTGCTCGCCCCTTATGTCAGCAACGTCAAAACCATCTCCCGCGCTAAAATCCGCACCGTCAAGATGACCTTCGTGATCGTCTCAGTGTACGTCGTTTGCTGGGCGCCCTTCTTCACCATCCAGATGTGGTCCGTCTGGGATCAGCGCTTCCCCTGGGTCGGTAGGTGACGCCGCCTCTTGTCCCCCGTGGCCGCCCCGAACGGGGGACAAGACCGTTCGGGGGTTCAGCCGGCTGTCCCGAGGCGCTGCGCAGAGCTAATCCGAGCGGGGGGGAAACGGGAAGCGGGAGCGGAGAGGGGGATCGAGGCGCGCCCTCCCGGCCTCGGACCGGTCCCTCTCTCGTCGGGGAACAGCGTCTGAGCGCCCTTATAGGGGAGAAGAGACAGTCCTGGGCAGTCGCCGCCCTCTGGGTCTCCCCTCCGGCACCGCTCGTAGTCCCGGATCTGGTGACCCCAGGAGCGGCGGCAGCCGCGGCGCTCGGCTCGGCCTGTCGCCTCTGGAGAGGAGCAGCAGCCGCAGCCCTCTCATCTCGAGCAAAACGAGCGGATGGAAGGCGGAGTATTTGCTACCGTAGTTTGAACCAGCAACATTTTCTTCCGTTTGAAGCTGCCTATAAGAAAACTTTAGAAATGTTTAGTATTGTTGCGAAGCATGCACACACATGCCAGAGCAGTTACATGAAGAGAGAACATATTACATCTTCTTTCCTGTTTCTGCTGTCTAATAATAGGATTGAGCACACCCTGAACCCTTCCTCTCAGCAAGGCAGTCACCTCTGAGTAGCTCCATTAGTCAAGTCAGGAGTTTTCATGAATCAGTGGCAATTTAGACTTTGGAGATATCTGTCCCGGTGTTAAATATGGCTGAAAAAAATTGTTGAGTGTAAAAGCTATCACACAGGTAATGACAGACAGCATAGTGACATATATTCTCTTTCCTCATGAGAGAGCAGCAAATCAAAATGTTGGAATCCATAAATTCTTGATATTTTTTAAATATCCCCAAATTATCACTTACTGTAGTGAGTGTTGATTGCCTCTAATATGGGACTAAAGTCAAGCCTATAATGCAGATCTCTATAGAGAAATAAAGGCTTGCAGGAAACAGATTCTCTTTCCTTCAAAGGAATTTAAATCAAATTGAACAGATTATTGAACGGGGTATTTGACAGTTTGGTTTGTTTGAAGACATTCTTTAAATCTATGGAACTGCATAACACAGTAATTATACTTCTTTGAAGATTCAATATGTACAAAGAAAAGTCACTGATAATTGATTAGACTAAATACATATTTAGAGTATTTGGTGTAACTATTAACTAGTTATTGAAGGTAGAACACCATAGTTTTTCATGCCATAGTGCAAAGTTCCGTTTTTGCCTTAAGAAAAATTTGTTCAACCTCCAAAATCCAGATTTGATGGACAATCCAGTAGTTAGCTGAACATTCAATACTTTTCAGCATGCAAATATATGCAGAAAAAGTCAGTGTTATTGGAAACAGTGGAAATTTTATTATTGTCTCCCAGGGTCTGGAAAAAATTTTTCAGTATCTAAAGCAGGAGCTTATCAACACTTGGATACACACCAGTGTAAATGTGACTAAATCATTATTTTGGATGGAATACTCTGTAGCTTATTCTGTCACAGCTTTTTGAAGTCTCTTCAGAGAAATCCCCATTGACTTCAATGGCAGCCTTACACAAATGAGACCTTTACTGATTATGTTCTAATTATTTGTTACAAATGCTGCAACTCAACATTTAGAACTCAAATGTTCAGGAAAATAATTCCAATGGTTAATGAAGTAATTGACTGAATGGTGCAAATGTTCTTTTGATGTTAAATAACTTTCTCTCCCCCTACCCAGATTCTGAAAACACTGCGACAACTGTTACCGCTCTGCTGGCCAGCCTGAACAGTTGCTGTAACCCGTGGATCTACATGTTCTTCAGTGGGCACCTCCTCCAAGACTGCCTACAGAGCTTCCCTTGCCAAAAAATAAAGCAAACGCTGAGTAAAGAAGATTCAAATAGCAATAGCAAGCGACAGACTTCTTTCAGTAACAACAGAAGCCCAATTTCCAGCCTAAACACATGGAGAGAGATGCCCCACGCCAAATCAACCAGCTTCATTCCCATTCCAACGTGAGACAGGCCTCAGGGCAGGCAGGGCTTGCACTCCTGTCACAGTGTTCGGGAAGGTTGTGGCACTTAATGCCATTCCAGGGCACCATCATATTACCAAAGAATGACTAAGATGGCCATGAGACAAAAAGTGCCACCTTGCTTGATAAGCTATGCTGCAGTATGTAAATTGTTTTCTGAAAGTTATTTAGGATTTGGACAACTGATCAGGAAGGTGTAGTAACAATAAAGCAATTATTTTTTAAAAATAGAATTTATTTTATTTTTTTTGTCTGTTTCTAAAATACTAAGTGCGTTCTTTGCTTGCCGTTTAAAACAGTAAAAATATTGGAGCTGTCATGTATTGGGGTAACTCCACTCTCTAATGGTAGTGCATAAAACTTCTCATAAATGAAGTCATGGGAAAAAAAGAGAATATGAGCAAGATTACAATTTAGTATTAAACATTAAAAGAAATTGGGAAAAACATCTTGGGTGTCCAGATAAGGAAGGGGGTTAGACAGACTCCGAGTTGTTGGAATTCAGTTACTCATGATGCTTCATCTTGTAAAGGTCTAGCTATTCTCAGACACTGAAATTTAACATCCCTTATGAAGGCAAATCTTTTAGTGCTGTCGATGTCTATATGTATTGTGGGGTTTCATTTTTAGGGTGATATTTCCTCTTCCCTTCTTGTTGATGGAAATTATACAGCATATTTGTGTGTGTGTGTGCACCTTGTTTCACCTACTTCCATTTTTTAAACTAACTTTAAAAATATTTTGATAAATAAGTATGATATGCTATGACTCTCTCAGCACCATTACAAACAGTTACACCAGAAAAACTCATAATGAATACCAGAACTACTTGCTTTATTGGTAGGAATGCCATCTTTTATTTTTTTAATTCACTGAGACTTCTAGGATCAAGCTACATTGCTTGGTTGTCAAGCAAATAGTCTCATGAGCTCAGAAGAGTGTAGTCATTTGGTAAGAGCTGTAGAACCAGGGTATTTCAAGACACAGATCTGAGAATCAAACTTACAAGTCTTCTGGGAACATACAAAAATTGTCAATGTTGTTGGCTTGTTTTCTTATATTATTTTTATTACCAGTTCATGACAATATAGTCTTAAAAATTGTCAATAAACTTCAGTAAAGTCATCATAACACATTTGCTAATTACAAAGCATTCGAGGTGTGCTTGTTTTCAATACAATGCATGCTAAGTTGACTGTAGTTCATTTATATGGTAAACAATCCTATTACATCTTTCAATGGAGCCTGTCTCTTACATCAAGGTTGAGTTTTGAAGCTCCTTGAATAAGTTTTGCTGAGTTTCAAAGTCTTGAGAATCTCTTTGAGAAGCACAGCTACCTGTCTGCTCTGTTTTCCTGAGCTTGTTGGATCCTGAAATCCAGGCGGTCCCCCAGCCCCCTGCAGGACTGCTGACACAGTCCTAGCTGGCTGCTGGAGCAGTGGGACACAAGCATGGAAGCTCAGCAGCAGGTTTATTTCTTTCTTTCCCACCAAAGCCCAACAAACAAGGTTGTTTTTCTAATTGCTTGAGGAGATTGCATGTGGCTTTCACTGAGGATGGTGTCCGTGCTTGCCTCAATAATGGTAGCAGAAATTGAGTTAGATGCAGAATAAGATCAACTTAAACCACTCCAGAAGCTCCCCACTGATTATTCTGGGCAAAGAATAGGGAATATTATACCTAAAAGAAATTATATTTTGTCACTAAAGAAAATCTTGGCTCCATTCTCTTCTTTTCTCGTGTTTGCTGTTTTCAAAGCAGTAGAACCCAGACAACAGAGTGGTGAAACGGCTTATATTTAACAGGCTATATTTTTGACCACTTTTAATATACAAATGTGACTACAGCTCTCATCAACTCTGGACGAAGATTTGTGAACCTGAAGCTATATTTTAGTAAAAAAAAAATGCATGCAGTGATGTTATGTGGGTGTTTGTGCACATTACGTGTACTGTGTATATTTTGCAACTAAGTAATTCATAGTTACTGGAACCGCAAGTGTTTCAAATGAAGTACACTATCCTTTGCCTAGTTTTCTGTTTGTACTACTACTTTCTTTGTACATGAAATCTGTATTAGAAACCAATTAGCTGTACTAACAGAATTTTCATGTTTGCATAATTGGCTTTTCTATTACACTTCGAATTCAAACAGAAAAGATAATGAAAAAATCTGTATAGAATATTGTTGATAATAAAAATGAACTGGATAAGGACCAGTATATGTATTAAAGCAAACAGACCCAAAGTATAAATTTGGGTTTTTTTCAAATACACTACAAAATATAGGCTTACACTTGGGGCTAGTCAGCATAAATTTCCCCTGTGAGTGTCCTATAGTTTCTGTAATTAAACTGACAATACAATTTATCAGTATTTGGTTTCCAGACATTTTTTATAAATGCTGACTTTTTCACATACAGCCAATATTTTCTTATTTCTTCATCTGTGGAAATATTTTTTTAAAAACTACTTTGGGTTATCATGAGGGTACCCTAATGGAAACAGAAGGAAACAAAAAATTTTGAAACCATTGCAAGTTTAAAACATGGAAACTTGCTCTAATAAACCTGCATATTTTTTTGATCAGAAGCATTTTGGGTTTTTTGCTAATCTAGATTTTGGAGGGCCAGAAATATATTTGGTAATGCTAAATATATTTTACAAAATTCAGAATGCCTTCATTTAATAAGTTGTGTCCATGAAAAACATTAAGGAGAGAACAAACCTAAAATATTTTTCTATTGTACATAGTGCATGAAAGCCACAAGCAAAGAAGGAATGTGCAATCAGCTTTCCACTATATGCTGCTAGTATTGTTAAAACATGTAACTGAGCTCTTATTCATGTTTTAGAGGGGTTATTTTAATATTTTTGTTATAAAGAATTGTCCTCTAATGTAAAACATGATTGAATGATGCATCTGTACTCTGTTGCTTGTTCTGGTGTTACTAGAATTGAAGCATTTAAAATTCAATTAGATGGCAAAAGTGGAGATGATATAGAAGATGGAAAGGACTTTATTCATTTATATAAGAACCTAAGGCAAAAAAGCTTCTTTCCATTAATTTCTTTTTAAATTTGCAGGCAAACATAATTTTGGCTCAGGAAAAGAAAACACCAACCAACCAAACAAAACACAAACAAACAAACAAACAGATTGGGTTTTTCCCTCCCTGTATTACCAACAATTATCAAGACCAAAATCTACAAGAAGACACAAATTCATGTGTGCCCAGTACTTCAAAGACAGAGGCTTTGTCTGCAGACAATCTTCTAGTCAATTCCAAATTGTCCAGATTGAAGGACCTTGCTAAAATGCATGCATGCTCATTTCCAACTCATGCATATAGAAACCACAGCAGAAGAAGGAAAAGCCTTGCAGAGCTGGATGTTGTCCTAGGGCAGATAATGGTGATGCAGCTTTGGGAAGTGAGCACAGGCCTTACAATAGAGCTACTGCTGAAACAAGTTACTTGTTGCATGAAAAAAAATTCCTCTTACAGAGTTCTCCCAGGCTGAGTTCTCCACCGACAAAAAGAAGGAATAATTAAATACAGTGTCCTCTTCTAAAAATGTGTCTGCCAAAATTTCAGTCCCTTGTGTACATGGAGAGGCAGAAAGACACTAGTTGGAGCTTTAGTTACTCTTACAAGCTAGTTTTCTATGTTTTGCTTTAGGAATGGGCTTTTCTGGAAAATATATCACTTGCTACATGGGTAAAGGAATTACAGGATAAATAAATGGACAAGTTTCAAGGTCCAGGACTAGATCACAGCTGCTCCACAGGGAGCAGTCCTGGCTGGTTCAGGTAACAGTTGCTCACACAAGAGTAGTCCAGCTGATAAGTCATGCAGAATGGTTTGTGCAGCTATGCAAAAAGCAAGCAAACAGCAATCACAACTAGTTCCTGCTGAACTTCGTTAGAACCAGCACGCATGGGTCTGCATCTCCCAGGACTGGTCCTGCGGAAAGCCCTGGATCCAGTTCAGTGTTAATTAACACTGTATCACTATTTTGGCACAACTGCACATGGCAATAATTTGCCATGCCTTAGTATAAACTTGCTTAGAGTAACAGTTTACATGCAAATTAGCCTTAGCTCTCCATAAGGACATTTTCAGCTGACTTCTTGATACAGTCGATTGTGTTACTTAATTTCGGAAAAGTGGGGCTGAGAGGCACCATCAGGAGTGCAAAGCTCTCTTCAGCTGTATGGTGAGAAGACTGGCAAGTCTTTGTAGTTCTAGGTGGATCAAGACGTTGTTAGATATGGGTGAACTTTATTCCAGTAAAGGAAGAATTTCTTTCACAATCCCAGTATTTTTCCCATTTCCAACATTTGTTTTTCCAGGGGGTGGATGGAAGAGGAGGCTTTGAGACAGAGCACTTTCTCAGTGCTCTGTAAGCAAAAGACACCTGAGTTACCCGTCTTCAGTTCAGGGTAATGATGATTGTCTTTCTCCATAAATTCTTACAGAACACATAGCTAAGAAATACTATGTACCAGTTCAATATTCCTTTTCAAGTAAACCATTGGCAGTGCAGTCTGTTGGTGTCCCATCAGCTTTTACACCTTTGTAGCAAAACGTGACAAAATTGACATTGGCCGTCCAGGGCACAAAACCCATTCTGGAAGATGTGGAACAGTTAACCAGAGACTGGCAGTGACTGTCCGAGCCTCTTCCACTGTTCTGCTGTGATTGCCCCTGCCATAGTCTCTCCTAACCCTGGCAGCTAGAATGGGGACAGGGACCTCAGGGGCAGCAGCAGACAGGGTTGTCATTAAAGCACATTAATTTCAAAATCCTTTTGCAGGGAGGAATGTGGATCTTATCAAATAAAAAACCCACAGTGAATACTGGGAGAGAGATGAACTGGTGACTCGGAGAGCAAATAAAACATCTGATCTCAAAGGTTATTTGAAAGTATCGAAATGCTTTCTATTTTTCAAGTTTAAGATATGTTTTATTTATTTAGAAAA